ATGCTATAAATTTAAAATGGACTGTTTTGCAAATAGTATAAATGAAAGGTGATATTCCTAATTTTGAAATAAATATAATATTAAAAATATTCTTTTGGAGTAGAAAATGGAGTAATACATTGGAGTAAAACTCAACTGCATTTTGGAGTTACTCCATTTTAGAGTAGAAAATGGAGTAATACATTGGAGATGCTCTAACGCTTAATGTGTAATCTCAATCAAGCATCAAACTTTAGTATCTTTAAAAAAAAAAAACTTTAGTATCTTTCATCCATCCAAATATCTAGCCCGAATGTTTATTATACGAATAGATTATAGTGACGATGTAATAAACCTGTCAAAACTTCTATTGATCTCGAGAACGATTACAAAACCAGAGATTTCAAACTATGTATTTTTGGATAGTTTTTCTTTTCCTTTCTTATGGACATAGTTTTTGTTAAATGAAATTACAATGAGCCGAAATTAATTATTTGATTTTGGACCAGATGAAGGACTACCGTTAACATATTACTGAATATAAACAATATATAACCTTCACAAACGAAATTACATCAAAAAGAAGTTCACAAAAATATTACATCAAAATGTCAAAACAAAATTAGGCTTATAACTTCACATATGGCGTCAACAAAAACACACACATATACATATACAGAAACACACATAGTGCACACATATATGAAAATGATATAAATATTCACATAAATAATACATATACTATATGGTATTGACTTCCGTTCGGAAGTAAAATAGGGACTATTATGAGAAGAATCTTTTACATGAGAATCTATCTTATCAAGAATTGACAACCGTCCTCAGTCTTTACATGCTTTTACTCAACGAGTACATAAATTGACAAATGTACGAATATTTAAGTAAATACTAGATTTTAACCCGCGCAACCGCGCAGGTGTTTGTTTTTGTTTATAGTTATATAAACATTTTGTTTTCACTTGTAAATTGGTATATATTATAGTAATCACATATTTACGATATGTATAGTAAATGTTTTTCAAACATAATAATATTATATAATAAAAATTTAATCAAATAGATTGTTTCAAATTTTCTATATTATACATGACTTTCAAACATGTGTTTGTTTCTTCTTCTATATTTTATTGTTTGTTAGATTAGTATTTCATTTTTAGATAAAGTAATATAAATATAGCTTGATTAAATATTATTGTAATTTAATTTTCAAATATAATATAAACTTCGAAGAAATTTTTGCTAAAAACTAAACTTATAACTTCATAAATTAATATTATAAAAAGTTTATTAAAAAGGAATTTTTTAAACAGTTTCTTTTTTTTTAAACAATACGATTTTAAAAATTTTCATCGAAATAAATTTATCTAATATATATAACGTGTAAATTTTGTTAAGGTATATAAATATTACATATTAATAATCTGTGATTTTTGTTAATATATTCTGGATGCATTTAACTATTATTGACATATTTCCTTATAAATAATAGAAGATTCCTAAATTTATATCTATTGGCATATTTTGCGTGACTAAGTTGGAAGATGTGGGGTAATTTACCAAAACAAAATTGTTAAGCATATTATAAGATATAATAATGATAATATTATTAGAGAGTTGATGTAATATAACTTTCTAGTAATCGTCCATTTTTTAAAAAATCACACATGAAATCAAGTCATGACTTCTGTTTTAATATATAAGATATGTATGTGTAATATTTCCATAAATATTGGTATTTTTATGATGCTTTTGAAATATTCGCAATGTGCCAATTTTTCAAGGCAGCTAGAATTTTTGGTCTCCAATTTGAGATAATTATAGCATTAAGATGAGATATCGTTATGAGTACTATTCCCGGGAACCGAATCTTTTCTTCCGAATCTCTCTTCCCAACTACGTGTAGACAACGTGTATCATCATCACGTGTTACCTTTTTTTCTTTCTTTAAACTCATACGTGATACTTTGCGAGTAAGACATCCATATAATATAGTTTTTAGAAAATAACCAGATCATTCTCTTTTTCATACTATTTTCATTGTTTTTCATGATTTATAAGTATATCAAATAAATAGAGAGGAGTGGACATTGGCTTTTATTTGTCATATGATTAGACTTGAGTTAAGATACAAATTAATATCTAAAGTATTCTAACTCACACATATTTATGTTATTAATTATCATTTTGAGTTAAGATACAAATTAATATCTAAAGTGTTCTAACTCACACATATTTATGTTATATCACTTAATGATATCTAGAGATAAGACATTATGTATTATTTTCAGAACTATCATAACCTATTAAGTTCAAAAATACTACAAACCAAATTTTATGAAAGGTTCCTAATTTGTTTATAACTATTCGTTCATTCAACTAATTTATAGTTATCTTATTTTTTAATATGAAATTTTTTTCTGCCATAGGCTCTGTGGGTTGATCTACCACGGCGAGCACTAAAATTTGATATACATGAAATAAAAAAAAAAATTTTATGTTAGAATATGTGTGAGTTAGAATGATTTTCTTAAACATAGTTTATCCTGAACTTATAGAATGACTTGGGCTAATTCTTTATAATGATACATCACACGGAAAGATTATTTTTTCAAAAATTCAAATAAACTATAAGTTATGGATTTATATCCGCATGGTTAGGTGATGAACTGTAGTAGATGTTTTTGAACACATGTTGATTAGCAACTTGAAACTCATCTTTTTGATCAAATGTTATTTTCTTAAAATAAATAATTATTATAAATTTAAAGATATAGATTGAAGTCATATATAGCTCTATTGTTTTGGGTTTATTACGTCCTCCTAACTATTTTTTTTTATAAAATGGCAATTTTTTTTAACAATATAAACTGCAACTATTTTTTAGATTAAAACGGATCATACGAACAACATGCGTGAGATTTAACGAAGCTCAAATTATTCTTTCTGTTTTCTTTTCAACTTTGGCCCTAGTGATCAAGAAGGGTCGGCTACTTCTCTTCGGAATGACACTTGGCAACATGTAATTGGCCCGACATCAGATCCGGTGCCGGACTTATCCTCTTTAAGATATCTCTTTTTGTTATTACAATTTACAATAAAAAAATTGAACATGGAAGTCTTTGAAGAATCTAACTGTTCGTATCTTTATCCGGAAGAGATAAAGAATCCAAATTTGTCTATAGGCTTACTGCATACAAATCACAATGGCAAAATAGAAAAGATAACGAAGCTTCTAAATTTCTCTAACAAGGAAATTTGAAATAATTTATAACGAGAAATGAGAAAAGAAGCAATAGTCCTTTCAGCATCAAAAAGAGAACACATACCCATAATAAGCTACTTTTCTCTTGATGGATGCTGATCATGATGGCTCCACTATCTCCATAACCTAATCCCTTGTAGCATTATGTATATAAATAGCCGCATTGAGATCTTATTGTAATATCACAAACCTCACACAACTATCCCCTCTTCATTCCAGTTCTCTTACATAACAAGAACCACAAAGAGAATCTGTTTCAAACTGAGTAGAGTATAAGCTTTGACATTTATCAATGGAAGGTAAAGGACGAGTTGTATCATCAACTTCTTCTTCTTTAACCACCGAACTCTTCGGCTCCAAAGATCCTTCGCCGCCATCTTCTTCCTCTGGAATCTTCTCCTCCATTTTCCCTCATCCCTCCAAGGTTATATTACCTTCCTTTTCTTCCAATTTTGTTTCTTGAGTAATCGAAATGATTCTTGAGTTTTTAAACTTCGATTTCTTGATTTGATTTCTCAGGGCGTTGCAAGAGATGGTCAAAGCTCCAAACATGGCTCACAAGGTCAGTGACTAAAAGAGTTCCTTCTTCTTTGCTCACTTATCCTCAAAGAATGGCTGTGAATTAATTCTAATGAATATGTTTTCTTACACAGCTCAACGTAGAGAATATTCAAATGCGCAAGACAGAGTTGAGCCATGCAATCTAAGCTCTTCTCTATACTACGGTGGTCAAGACGTATACCCTCCGTCCACCACCAACCAAACTTACCATACAGTGAGTCTTCTGAACTAATGTATACTTTGCAAATCACTTTCAAAATATAATATATAAAAAATTGAGTACTTGACTGATGAAAGAAACCATTATTCAGGTAAAAAACGAGCGTCCAAGAAACGAAGCAAACGATGCTAATGGACAGAACTCGCAAGATGTTTCAAGAGGAAACTGGTGGCAAGGTTCTCTTTATTACTAAAGAACCACCAGCTTCTTTAGTTTCTTTGTAAATCTCTTCAGAAACACATGAAGCTCAAGCCAAGTACTAATCACATCTACCCAACCAAGACTTTGTATAAATAAGTTAATGCAGAACAAAGGATAATATGAAAAAAAAATGTATAAGTATTTACTCTGCTTTTCTCTTTCTCATGTAAGTTGTAACAAAAATATGAAATATATAACATGTTTTTTTTTTGTAAAAATATACTTTATATAACATGTTAACATACGCAATCGCGTGATCAAACCAGATAGACATCTTTACGTAGTAACCAAAGCCTTCAGTAAGTAATTCTTTTACTGGAATACCAAACAGTAGAATGTAAATTCTATTAGTAATATTAATATTACAATGCATTAAGCTTGTATTGTATCACAAAGGTCTTTATGTCTGATTCACCATGGACCATGTCCGGCTACTAAAATAAGGATATTTTCTTGTGCTCGCTTGTTTACTTCAAACACTCGTTTCAAAGCTGAGAACATCAAAGGATGATCTTACTCTCTCACCAACCTCTCTGAGATTCGAAGAACCAGAGGAGTTTTTTTCTGTTCTTGCCACATCTAATGAATGAGCCTCGTGTTGGAGATATTGGACGGCGCCGGTGATTGGTTTGATAGGATTTGAGTTGGGTGCCGTCTAAAGCGATAAAAACGCGCCGAGTTGTGTTGAAAACGACTGTGTTTGGGGAAATAAAATTAAGGAAAAAATAGACGCCGTTGCCGGGGATCGAACCCGGGTCACCCGCGTGACAGGCGGGAATACTTACCACTATACTACAACGACTTTGTTGTTCAGTTAATCCATGTCTAGTTAAATAACAAAGAAAATAAATGAACTTCACAGACCAAGTGAGGAGCATCTACGTTCAGTTTTACAGATGTAACATACAATTCATGTTTTCGACGGCTGTGCCTGAAAATCGTGGACTAATAAACAAATGTATTTTTTTTTTTTTCAATTTCAGCTATAAAATAGCGTTAGAAGTTTGATTATCCCATACTCAAAAGTCTAATATATATATGGTTGATGGTTGTTAGATGAAGGCTTTACAATAAAGGGATATAGACCTACTTTCTTGTAATAAGACTAGCTGATATCGAGTAAAACGTTGCAGATTCGGAAAACAAATCAATATTTTCTCATATTGAATGTGAATTCTAACAGCAATTAGCTAGTGGTAGTAGGAAGGAACTATTTTTTTAGTATATAATTATACAGTTATATACCAAGAAAAAGAGTGCATACTTTCGTTTGGTCAGATCTTAAAAGGTTAACCTAACCTTCCCTCTAACATTCGTTACTTCAAAACATCGCATAAATAGAAGAAATATAATTTATTTGTCTCCGGAAGTCGGAATCACTCGTCTCAAGCTGCATTGGTTGACTTCAAAGCTTAAACCATTAAACCACTTTAATCCCATATATCACCTAAACCAATACTCATTGTAACTCCGTGTGACTAGCTCACATATATACTAGCTCATGTTACAATACTAGTTTTAAAATTTGGTCTTTGATATAGGATTTTATATTTGTTTAAGCTTTACAATCATAATTATTATGGTGGGTAATGGAATCTTAGTTTAAATGATTTCGATCTGGTTATAGTTAGCAACCTTTCATTAATTAGAGCTATAAGAAAAACCATATTTTATGTCATGGCTACCAGAATTTGAGGCATACACAACACATAACTTCTTATATTAGAAGTTACTCTGCGCAATTATTTTTGAAGTTTATTTAACTTCAGTGGAAAGCGATGATCTTTCTATACTTTTAAATTATTTTGATCATGGTAAGTTTTTTGGTGTCTTAATAGTTAGTTTCACCTGTATTTGGAGTTTTCCTTCTGATAAATGATACTGATAGTATTGATTAACGTAGGAAAGAGGCTATCGATTTCTAAAAAGTAATGGTAAATTTATATTACAAGGTTAGTGGAATGTTATGCATATGTCGCCACCTCCAAAACGTAGATTGCTGAGTTGGTAATCGAACTCGTAAAATTGGCCGTTTTTCTTTTACGTTTAATTCCTGAAAATGTTAGAAAAAGGTCTTGATCATTCAACGAATCAAAATCGAAAAAAAGAGACCTTGCATATTGATCCAAAATTCAAATAATGTGCATGAGTTATGCATCAGCACCAGATGACAACAATATTGTACGTTTTTTTTAATTTGATTATTAGTTCACCACTTTATACACAACCAAAAAGGAAATAAAGAGATGTAAAACTTCTAAAAAGTTTATATAAATTTATTTAGGACTTATCACCGAAATAAATTCGAAATACTAAACACGGCATATAAACGAAAATAACGTGACTTTAAAATATTGTTAGACGAATTTAAAAACTACAAAAACGTTAATTGACTGGTAATAACTGAATAACATTATGACTTTCCAAATTTGTCTCATACTAGTTATTGAAGCTTTAAATAGCATGGAAACCAAATTAAGTTGAATACATCATTTTAATAGAAACTTTATAAACATTCACCTAAAAAAGGTCCATCATATATAAATGCATTCATATTTCAGGAAGAAAAAATGCTAAGAAAATATCGTAGTATATTGGATGCTTTTTATATAGCTTTCCTTAATCCTTAATTTCTCGTGAGTCGCGCAACTCGCAACAATTGACAGGTGAAATTGTCGCGCGTAACGCCTTCTACTAAAGCTGTCTTCTTCTTCCTTCTTTATATGTCTCTCTTTCCACAAACTTCTCTTCCTCTTTGTGCTTGCTTTCCTCTGTTTCTCTCCCTGTTCTGTCTGAATAATCTATTCAAAGATCTTTTCTAGACAAGAATATCATCAAATGGAATCTACTGAACGACAAGACATAGATTTCTGTAGCTCTTTTTCCAAGGACACAACCACAACTTTCTTGACTCCAACCACAAGCTCGCTCCGATCCGACTCGATAGATTCACCAAAGCCACAAAACGAAGTTGAAGAAGAGTACGTGGTAGAGCTGACTCGGCAGATGACTAACTATATGCTTCAGGACGATGAAAAGCATCAGAAGGTACAAACTTTTTTAAAACCCAACAAGATTCGATTCTTTACTCTTTTATTCTGTCACATATTCCTTACTATTTCTTCTTCTTTTGATTTAGTCTTCTGGTGGTGGGTCTGCCTCGCCGCAGTCGACTCTTTGGTCACCATTCGCCTCCGGTTACAGCAGCCCTGTCGGCCCTTCCCGAGAACCATCACCGCCGCTAACTCAGGCAACGGCGGTGGAGACAAAACCTGTTATGATTCCTTTTCAAACAAAACAAGCTTTAATCGATGAGCAGATCCGATCTGTTCAAGCTAACGTGAGCTCATGTTTTGTCAGTTATTAATTATTTATTTTTCAAAAATCGTCGGTTATTATACGGTTTAGAACTAACCTTCACGAAAAAGTTCCGTCAAAAAGAAAAACTAACTTTAACGAAAACAGAGCTTTAATGTTCAAACCAAGAAAACAGAAGTTTAGTCACTATTATTGTAAAATAAAAAGTTTTTTTCTTTTTTTTTAATATAAAATAAAAAGTTTGATGTTCATTTTGTGTATATAGTTCCATAAGATGAAGAAGGAGAAACACAAGCAAGGAAATGATGACGTATTAGGACACAAAGCAAGAAGCTACAACCACCGACAGACACCGAAGTCTGGCGTGAAGGCGGTGTTCGTTGACGGGTCGGGTTCGAGAACCGGGTCTGGTGGGACTGGAGTATTCTTACCTCGTGGTCATGGTACTGTCGTGGAGTCGCGCAAGAAATCAGGTTAGAGACAATAAATAACAGTAGCAGTAATTTCGTATTAATTTAGAATTATTACTCTCTTTCTTCATAAGTTTACGTTTCGGATAGTTTTTTAGTGGTATTAGAGAAGGTTACGTATTAGTAAGGACAACAAAATAAATAAAAATGGAATGACGTTGCCTATATAATTCGAGATTCCTAGTTTGTTTTTTATAGGAGTTGACAAAGTGGGAATCTTGTGTCTATATTAGATTTAGTAATTTCATATTATTTTTTTGGTAAGACAAGTGATTTCATAATTACCTCTTTTATATAACATATACGTACATTAGAGTTAGTTTTTTGATTAAAGATGTGTAATTCTTTTTCTGTGGCCGACGAGCTAAATGGATAATATTTTTCATAACCTTGCCATGCACATTCAGTAACGACATTTGGTATTCCAAAAATTTCATTTTTCGGTTGTAATAATCTTCTTCTCATTTACTCAAAATGGCTGTGTTTTTCGATTAATATACAGCTAAACTGAAAGTAGTAGACAACTAGTCTTAATGTTACAGTTATAGATGGGTTCACATTAGGTGGTTTCGTTTAGCTGATTGAGTGGCAATCTTCTCTTGCTCATAACTCAATTATTGAGGAAAAATATATAATAAGATTCCTTCTCTTACGTTGTTACATTGTTTGACTAAGTAGATTCTAAATATTCCTTCTCAGCAAATTAATCTCCTTATCTTTGAAAGGTTTTCCTGTACCCTCATTATTATTTTTTTTGCAATTACAACTCCCTTTCGACAAGTAAACCATTTATAATTTGATAATCGTTATCTTTGATTTTTTTTTTTTCTAAAGACCCACTTGTCTAAGATAACCTAGATATTTCTTCTTGTGATTCCTTCTCATGTCGTTGTTCGATCATTGAGTCGTTGATAAGTACCCAAGGCTATAAATGAACCACATATTGTAAACCTTTTCTTTCTAAATATAGTATTATATTCGAATTGGGAAAAAATATCCCATACCCAGATATGTTACACTACCCATGATTTGTTTTTTCATTTTCTTTTGGTTTTGAAATTGAATCGGTGATCTTAGTGATCTAGGAGTCGGTGGATTTGTTAATTATTTCATTTCCACACTTAACTGTTATCCAATCTAGGTGTCGGTGGATTTGCCAACAAATATCGTCTACCTTACTTGATAAAAACATATTCTTTTTTGGCATCATTTGATTTAATGTGGTTTATATATCGGTGGGAAGTGGTGACAATTAAGATGACATTGTACTGTTGGTATCAAGATTTGTTGTCGTTCTATGAAACTGATGTTTCAACCAAACTGAACTTATAACAAAGCGGTTTAGTTTGGTTTATATGTAGATTTGGTTTCGTTTTGACTTGTGCATCTTAAAAAAAATATTGGTTGCAGGATGTTCGACAATAATAATACCAGCAAGAGTAGTTGAAGCCTTGAAAGTTCACTTTGACAAATTGGGTGTTCCATCTACAATTTCTTCTGATATCCCTCCTTTTCATGGTACCACTACCAACCCACCAATCCTTTTCGTTAATTCAATTTTTTATTCTTTTGAGTAAAGTTATGATTTACAAGAATTAGTAATATAAAAAATCACTGAAATTTTGAAATTTATTGCTATGCATGTTTCTTATTATTCTAACTTTTACTATATTACATCATATTAGAAACATGCAAGTATGTGACTAATATATAAACATAGCTTATATATATGTATATAATTTGTAAATTCTAGTTTTTGAGTACATCTTTTGATATGATTATGGTTCTTCGTATTCTTTTTCTTTAACCGGCTGGTTAATGTGTTTTCATTGATAATTAATAAAAGTATTTACTGTATAGATGCTTTGCTGGTTTCCATGAAGAACAAAAACAACAGCAGTTACAAAAGCAATTCATCAACTCGGGTACAGTGTGGACCTCTGCACCTGGAGGAGACGTCGACCGAGAGCCACCAAGAACCACTGGCGGATTTGCCACATGAATGGACGTACTGATCAAATATTTGCATGCTCTTTCTTGGTTGCTGAAGTTATAGGTTCTCAAAAGGTAGTGTCTTTTTGATATTTTATAGTGGGTCAAAATATGAAATAAATAAAGTTTTAAAATCATCATTTTATTGGATATATATATATATATAGATTTTAGAAGGGATTGAATTTGTTATTTTTTTATTGGTAGTTCCTTAAGATGGGTTTAGTAAAATCAATAATTCCTCTGATAAATGAATAATAAAATATATGCATATATATGTTCATATATATTGCATTTCTGTAGCAGTAAAACGGATGGGTTGTTTTTTTGTAATGTAAGATTCATTGTAATACAAGCATAATATGAATCTCCCCAGTGTAATAAAAAGACTACTAGATTATTACGTCTTCATTCTTATGTAATGCTTTAACTCTCTTACAAATCAAGGTTATAGAATTACAGTTATGGTTTTTGGAAAAACTAGTTCAGTGTTCTCTATGTTCATCTACGGAACACGTTAAGATGCGTGGAAAAGATATGACGTGCTCGTGGTACCTCGTGGGTGGTCTTAAATCCGCAGACTTATCGTAATGTCCAACATGTTTTTTCTTGACTTAGTATTTGTAATTTCACTTTATAAGGTTCATGTGCACTTATTCTTTATACTTTCACTTTATAAAGTTCATGTGCACTCACATTTCGCCATTACTCAAATTAATTGCGAGCCAGAGACGGTGTACACTGCTCCACTCCTCGGTCTCCTCTCGTGTGTGTGGAATTCTTACATAAAACTAACCGAGAAATTATATAATCTCACAATTATTTTCACAGGACTTGTTTATACACCATTGTATTTCCCATATGTTACTAATAATCATATTTCAAACGTCTCGATCGTCTTGACTCTTGAGACCACTAGTTATATTTTGAAAAAAAAAATTCTGTTATCATAAGCAATTAGCAAATTCTTGTAATTCCATAATAGTGAAAATTCTCTACAAGTTTTAGATACAGTAGTTCTAAACCAAGAACCAAATATAGTAATTAATTAAAATTATAAATTTAGAAGTGCATTAATCACTCATTTTGTGTGTTTCCAAATATCACCCTTATTTTTGTACGATACAAAGTTTGAAAAGTCCATAAAACAAGTGTACAACAATATCGTTACTCTTCTCCACACAAACACAAAAAGAAATTGAAAAACAAGGAATTTTAATGCCAAGAAATACAAAAAAAAAAAGCTTCTTCGAACATTCTTATTCTCCTCTCAATTAACACACAAGAGACTCAAGAACAAGAACAAGAAAAGCATGGATCATGATCACATGTCTCCACCACCGTCATCCATTATGAACAATGGGTCCATGAACGGAGGAGGAGGAGGAAATCAAGAGATGATGATGATGCATATGACTTTCTATTGGGGCAAGAACACGGAGGTTCTCTTCTCCGGTTGGCCCGGAACAAGCTCGGGCATGTATGCTCTTTGTCTCATATTTGTCTTCTTCCTCGCCTTCCTCACCGAACTGCTTGGTCACTCCTCTATCCTCCGTGACACCCCCGGAGATTCAGCTAATGCCGCCTCCGGACTCGTCCAAACCGTCGTGTACACCCTCCGGACCGGCATTGCTTATCTAGTCATGCTCGCCGTCATGTCATTCAATGCTGGCGTGTTTATCGCCGCTCTAACCGGTTATGCCGTTGGTTTCATGTTGTTCGGGAGCCGAACTTTCCGGAATCCCTCCGGTGACCGAGAAACTTACGAGTCTCCTGCCTCAGGTTGTGCTTGTTGATTGTGATATGTGTATGGATTGATCCTTACTTGTATTTCTAACTAGAGATCTAGGGTTTGTAGTTTTCTTGGATTGTTGTTCTTGAGGTTAATGTATGTGTTTAGTGTGAGGAGGAGGAAGGTTTGTTAATATTTATAATTTTCTTTTTTTTTTGCTTTATAAATTTTGTTTTCTTCTGGTTAAATGATTAATGGTGGAAGCTGGAATATATCAATTTGCTACTTTTCGACACCAATTTGTTCTCTCAAATTTCATATACATAACATAATTAAATGATTTAATGGTTATACATAACATAATTTGTTTTAACTATCTTACTTATAATTAAGCAAAGGGAACATTATAGTATGATTCATTAAGCAAAGGCAACATTATGTATGACACCCTATCAATCTAATTATATAAAGTATGATTTTATCTCTCTTTTGAGAGTGTCACCTCACTAATTAGAAAAAAATATTTGACATGTGGCATAATTTAAATTGGGTCTGAAATTTTATTAGATTTATGAGTTTATTTTACAGTTGGACTAATAAAACTAGCTCAAAGATAAACCCAACAAAAAAATACAAATCATCTATTCCTTGCGATAAAATTTATCTCTATATTCTTTATTAATGTGTCGTTTCAAACTGGGCATTGTTACAAATTAATTACACTAACACATCCATCTTCCGAGATTGACCCACCATCTCATATCGCATGCAATTGCAGAGGAATTCATTTTGTTAAGAACAAAGAGAGTCAGAGATATATGTTCGTGGAAAAAAAAAATCTAAATTTATTTTCTTCTCTCTATAATTTATAAGAACCCAGACCAGGAGACACAAGAATGTGTTTCTATTTCTGAATAAGAAATTAAACGAAATACCGAAATATTGTTTTTTAGCATCACTGAAATTTTATTTTTATCAAAAGACAAAAGTTTTCTTGTTTAAATAGATGAAATATGACTGAGAGATTTTGACCGTTGATATAGTAGAAAGGGATCCATGTTCATTATTACCGTTAGAGAAAAGTGTTAAATATTTTATCAGGCATTGGCCCAAGATACACTGTTGTTTACTCAATTTATTGCTTTCCATTTTATGATGACGGTCCAAAAGCATTTCTACTATCAGTCAACCTTCATTTTTAATACTACGACAGTAATCAGTATGTAACATGACCAGTTAGAATCAATCTACTTCCAATCAACGACAATAAGTCATATCAGATCAATTAAAATACAAACCCATGACCTAGATTTTAAAATAGTGACCGGCGCTCAATGGTGATGAGCTTTGTGCCTTGCGCCATGTGGACGTCTTAAAAAGACGTTAGGTTTGTATATAACATGGAAGAGAGATTTAACATAATAAATATGAATAAAATACCAAACTTTAGAGCGAGATTAAAATAATAAACATACTCCCAACATAGAACTTTGGAGATAGATTACTTTATTTATAAACGACCAATGCTTTTGGTATAATACGAAAGTTTTTTTTGTTCATTCAGTGACCAAAGTTATGATCTTTAGTATTCCTTTGTTAAAATTAAACAGAAGATAAACATTCAAAAATGTTGATCTCCATAATATGTGTTATCACTCACGTAATCCATGTGTGTACGTAACATAACTGTGAATATGTACTCAAAACACAAAAGAAAATAGAAGAACATAAAATATGAGAATACACAGATGAAGTGAAAGAAGTGACAAATGAAATGAAATTAATATTTCAGTGTCTGTCAAAGATGTAGTTTCTATGGCTCTTTCTGAGTCGCCTTCAGCGACCTTAACTTCAACACAAACGGCACTAATTCGGCATAATGATGTTATACATGAAAAAATTGGTAGTCGAAAAAACATTTTAAAACAAACCTGGATGGAAACATAACAAAATGCGAGATATAAATGTTGACAGCGCATAAAAAAACATTGCATATATATAGTACAATTCCCATGTTATAATACATTAACGACTATATAGACAACACTTCAATCTCACATCAAGAACGTAAAAGTAGTTATGATTTATGATACTACTATAAACTAATGAATTCACGTTTATACTTATAAACCATCTCCGCACCTTCTTATTTTGGATCAAACAACTATTATTTTTAAAATTCTAATCATCTGATTTATTTTCAAATATAATAGTAATATATTTAAGACTCAAACAAATATGTATAATTCTAAATAGTAATGATCACTATTAAATGATTTTGTAATCTACCTAACTTAAATATATTTTCAGTTTGAATGGATCAACTTCGCACTACTTATTACTTATAACTTCACAAAACTCATGGAGCAATTTTAAAAACTAATTCTAACTATTATTATAGTAAACTAAAACAAACTTTAAAAGAAAGCAAAAAATCTTTTCTATAAAATTTTAGTAACTAATTAAGTTTATGATTTTAAAATTTATAGTCAACTAAATAGATAAATTTATTTAATAAAAACTTGAAAATTAATTTTAATTTCTGTTGAGAATAAATTTAAACTTTTTAAATACATTTATATTATTTGTTTATTTATTTACCCGTCCGTAGGGCGGATCTACTCTAGTATTGTATATTAAAACATGTTTGGTTTAACTATCTTACTTATGTAACTTACATTTATATTTGCCACTTTTTGTGTATTACAATTAATTTATAGGGTTACTAATTTCACTATTCGTTTACTAGTTATACGTTGCATTTCTGGGATGGGAGGGGTAGCAAGAGAATGGAAGGAGAACTGCAGTTTATGTTTGAGACTAGACTGTGAATTGAGTAGATATAGCATGTCGAACTGATCTTGTGTTTATCCCACTAAGGTTCACTCTGATGTAAACATGTTTTTTTGAGGAATAAAATTTTGATATTCTTTAAAAAAAAAAACAAATATGTTGCATTTTCTTCTTCTTATAGCTTTTATGTATGTTTACTAGTTCATCCTTTGATTTGGCATCCAACTTGTTAGCCATAATTTTGATTATTCTTTCAAAAAAAAACAAATATGTTGCATTTTCTTCTTCTTATAGCTTTTATGTATGTTTACTAGTTCATCCTTTGATTTGGCATCCAACTTGTTAGCCATAATTGGTTTTGAGCTGGTTTTGAGTATGAAATAAATAAGGAAGAGTCTGAAGTTGATTTTTTTTTGTTCAACGTCTGAACTTGATGTGACAATGATCTCGATCAATGTGGCAGGTGAAGATGATAAGATACCACGAAGTTACTTCAGCCTGTAGTAGGCACATGCATATCACTTTCACCTTCGCCAAACTATTTCACCTTTTGTTATGCCAACCAAAAAAGCACATCAGTGTCTTATGCATAGTTTTCCATTTATGAATTTTTGAGACAAAAGAGTTAATACTAAGGAAAATTATTTATACAAAGTAGATTGTGACATGAAACAGACCCTTTTTGTGTGTGTTCAACTGTTCAATTTTTTGCTTTTTTTGCGTAACTACAATTATGTATAGGGTAATACTAATTTAATATTTGTTTTAGTAAAAGACTACTATATATTTTACTAATTTTAATTTAAGTTTACTAATAATACTTTGCGTTTTCTTCTTCTTATAAATTATATTTATGTTTGACACTTTTGTTAGTGTTATTACAATTTGTTGATAAACAGCTTTTGAAAGGAAAATTTAAGAGACAAGTTATGCGTAGCATCCTGTTTTTCAAACGTATATATTCACCATTGACACATTTGTTCGAAAAAGAAGCGATGAAAGATAAAAGATTCCACATATTAGTTAAATAGAGAAGAGTAAAATATAAGTTAAAAAGGGAGTAAAATATTTAGCAAAATATAGTAAAATATTGGGAAAATAGCATAAAAAACCTTCAGAGTGACACTCATTAGCACTTTAAACCTTGAACTTATTTAACTAGCATATTGAACATTCAACTTGACATTTGTATCACAAAAAACCTTCAACTTGGCTTACTTGTTTGTCAAGTTAAAATTGTGTCTTGTTAACCTACAATAGTAGGTCACATGTTGTTTTTTTTGTTTTATTTAATTAATAATTACAATTAACAATAAAAAACCTAAAATTAATTAGAAAATTACAGAAAAAATTCTAAAATTGAATTTAATAAAAATCACAAAAAATCTTAAGACTTCAAAGTTTTTGAATTGTAAATTTTGCAAATTAAAACTTTTTTTAAAAAAAAATCATCTAAAAACTATTAAATTTTCTCATAAAAATAAATAATTTTAAACATTATCACCATTAACTTGAACACTCTTTGTCATATCATTATTAAGAACAACATATTTGGTTATATCGCTAATGACAATAGTGTCAAAATCATTGTTTTTTTTATATAAGAAATTATCATCGTTAAAGATATCAACAAAATTAAACGTTTAAAACTTACAAAACATTATTATTAATTCTGATATGCCGAAAAGTGCTCCTTTTACTAGTGGTATATCCACACTATTTATTTTTGAATAAAATTTTAAAGTTTGCCTTATAAGCTTTTTAAATGTTTAGTTAATAATAATAACATACAAATAAATATGAGTTAGAGGTTATACTTGATATTGAAAAGTGTATTAAGAGTTAAAATGTTCATATCGAAATCATCATATAGTTGTCGTTTTTTATTAACAAAATAAAAAAAAAATCTATCAAGGTATTAAATTATTAGTAAGATACATTAATATAATTATGGGGATAATAAAATTGCTTTAGTTGCTATTAATATGACCATTAATAATAATGTCGTATGGTTAGAGAAAATAAAGGGGAAGACCAAAATATTAAAAAAAAAAGTCTAAACAACTTTCATAGATAGATTTTTTAAGACTCATTCCCTTTTAATAGTATTGATATAGTTTATAAAAAATATACACTCATATATAACAAAATTTCATTTAGAATAAAAATAAAACACTTGTAAATTCTTAAGAAAATATTTTGATTTTTTTTTTAAATTAAGATTTTTGAATTTTTCTGTACTTTAAAACAAATATTTTTGAAAACTTACACGTTAAAAAAATTAAATTTTAAGAAGATATTTTGGTTTTTATTAAATTCAGTTTTAATTTTTTTCTGTAATTTTCTAATTTTATTTAGTTTTTTTTATTGTTAATTGTATTTATTAATTAAATAAAATAAAAAACAACATGTGACCTACTATTGTAGGTTAACAAGTCACAATTTAAACTTGACGAACAAGTAAGCCAAGTTGAAGGTTTTTTGTGATATAAATGTCAAGTTGAATGTTCAATATGCTAGTTAAATAAGTTCAAGGTTTAAAGTGCTAGTGAGTGCCACTTCGAAGGTTTTTTATGCTATTTTCCCGTAAAATATTTAGCAAAAAAAGAGTGAAATATAAAATATGCATCAAGCCAAGTACTATAGACGCTCGCATCATATAATGCTAAATACTAATAGATTTATCATATTTTTTTTAGAATCACACTATCTTTTTGCATGACTTAATTAGTCTTACATCTCCCTTGTCGGTGGCTTCTTGAAAGAACTGAAAAATCATGGAAAGTAATAAGCTCGGAAATGTTTAAAACTAAGAAATAACTTAAGCCAAAGTTTAAAAAAAAAACTAAACTGAAAAAAATGACAAGCAAAACCACCTTTTGCTTTCAAGGTCCAAACGGGAGAGGGGCTCAATATCTTGCATGCATATATAGTGAAAATCCAACACAATGGCCACTAAAAACATCCTAGATGAACCACCATTTGTATTCATTTTTTTGACATAGAATATCTGCAAGCAATACTAACCAAATGCTTTAGGTCATACGTTTAGCATACTTGGTCTTGGCAGCTTTCAAGAAAAGATAAACAAGATTTTGATTTGTCCGAAAAAAAAGATAAACAAGATTTTGATATATCTAGAAAGATAAAGAAAATATTAATATTGCATCTAGTAGATCATGTAAGAGTCACGTTTATGTTGATTTCACCGTCAAAGATGTATTTCTGTTCCTTCATAAACTCGACCTCAGCTTCAAGAACGGTCAAACGCTCCTCCAAAATCAGCATTTCATCGTACAGAGTGGAGTTTGGCTACATTGACTAATCTCTCACATGTTAGTATAAGAAAATGAGAAAATTAATACGGAGAGTAAATACGCTAAATTGGTAAGACAGACAAACTTATTTATTAGTTTACATCTATAAAAAAATGACTCATGCTGTAATTAAACCCATACATATATATGGGAATATCAATTTTACCACGAGTTTGATAATATTTTCAAATTTATCCTTAAAGAATGATCGTTTTCATAAATACCTATAACTTGGGATAAAAATATTAGCTTAACTCTCCTAAACGTTTATAAATGTTTAAGAATAATTTATAAAATATTTATAGGAACTCCATCTCTTAAATATAAAAATTTAAATAACAATTACTAAACTCACAATCAAAATATTTGGGTAACTTTAATGTGTATCTTTGAAAAGTGGTAACCAACTCATTGTATTTTAAAAAATCACTCACCATATATATCATCTAAATATGCATAGAGATATTATGAAAGTTAATTTTGTATATACTTGAAATTTTTAATCGTTTTTTATATTAAATTTATTAATAAAATATATAGAGAATTTTTTATTTAATATTTTATAAGATCTGAACACTCAATTACATTGATTGGATTTTTCTTTAGTTAATAAACTCAATAATATTATATGTAGAAATCATCTACTTATCATTTCCGGAATTTCTACTTATCATTTCCGGAATTCTTGGAATGTTGTTCTTGAGGATCATGTATGTGTTTCTTCTGGTTAAAATGATTAATGGTCGGAAGCTGGAGATATCCAATTTGCTACTTTTCAACATCAATTTGTTTTCTCTCAGATTTCATATACATAACATAATTAAAAATGATTTAAAGGGTATATAAACATAATTTGCTTTCATGGAACGAAAAAAAAAGAAGAAGATAATAATATGACACGATAACCATACCACAATAACATATATTCAAACAAAAAAGAGTCGTTCTTCATAAGAGAAGATAAAAATACGTTCCCCAACTTATTTTTCTACAAACAGAAGCAAAGGTCAACAACAATCAATACATGAAACCAAACCAGCACTCTGTAGCATATAATAAAACATCATATACTTTCAAATAATAAAACATCATATACTTTCAAAAACTGACAAGTCGGTAAATCATAAAACGCGTCTGCGTTTTTCTATGCCTTCACATTTGTTTAGTTTTTAGGAACGTTAAGCCTTAGTCTGAAATCTTCTTCCATGAGGGGAAGTCCTTCTCTGAGCTTTACCTTTGGCTCCCAACCCAACACTTCTTTAGCCTTACTAATGTCTGGTTTCCTCTGTCTTGGATCGTCCGGTGTATTCTCCACCATCTTTATCTCTATGCTTGGGTTAATCAGCTGCATGCGATTAAAAATATATCATTAAGAACCAAACAACACGAACTAAAACTGATAGTTTTTAGACAAAAACTGATTCTAACCTCCTTAACCGTCTCAGCCAGTTCCACCATTGTGAACTCACCTAAGAAACAAACAGAGACATTAAGACACAAGCCTAATTGCCTAAACAATGGGATAGATACAATCCACCATAAAGTGTCTTTTAAGAAGTACCTGGGTTACCAATGTTGATAGGACCAGTATCATCTCCTTCCATGAGACGGATAAGTCCATCCACCATGTCTGATACATAACAGAAACTACGAGTCTGTGTCCCTGGTTTCTGAACTGTCAATGGCTCACCTCGAAGTGCTTGAGCTATGAAGTTGCTCACCACACGCCCATCATCTATGTTCATCCTAGGACCATACGTGTTGAAGATTCTAGCAATGCGGATTTCTACAAAATACCAAATGAACACATGAGAATCTTAATGTTAACTTGTTAAGTGATGTGGTGAGTTTGGTGAAAACACACACACAAAACTCACCAATGCCATGTTGTCTGTGGTAGTCAAACATCAAAGTCTCAGCAACACGTTTGCCTTCATCATAGCAACTCCGAACACCAATAGGGTTGACGTTTCCCCAGTAGCTCTCTGGTTGTGGGTGGATGAGAGGATCTCCATAGACCTCCGAGGTAGAGGTGAGCAGGATTCTGTTTTAAGAGAAGAACACAATGTTAAGAGATGAACAAAGAAGATTTGATTTAACAAATAGGGAGTAACACTAACCTTGCTCCAACACGCTTGGCAAGACCGAGCATGTTCAGTGTACCAATCACATTGGTCTTGATAGTCTGCAAGAAAAAAGATTAGATATTAGAGAGAAACTAATGCTTCTGGTGGATGTTAATATGTTTCTGCACAGACCTTAACGGGGTTGTGTTTGTAGAAGATAGGAGAGGCAGGACAAGCAAGGTGGTAGATCCTATCAACCTCGATCAACAATGGCTCCGTAACATCTAACATTTCAAATACCAAAGGCTAAATGGATGACAATCATGTTGACATAAAACAAGAAGATGTGAGTCTGAGTCTCATACCGTGACGAATGAGCTCAAATCTTGGGTGACCGATCCACTTCTTGAGGTTTTCTTTTGATCCAGTGAAGTAGTTGTCAGCAACAATCACCTGGAGAAGAATAAAGACAATATATTCAAAACTGATCATACCATTATACAAACATAAGAGACATGTGAGTTTGTGTTGAGTGTAGACCTCATTCTTCTCATTTTCCATGAGCTTATCAACCAAGTGAGAGCCAATGAAACCAGCTCCTCCGGAGATCAAGATCCTCATGTTAGGCTACAGAGAACAGCAAAAAAAAGTAAACACCTTTAAACTCACATATTGACATCAGAGACCATAAGTCACAGCCAACAAATCAAACTAATAAACCACAAGATCTGATTATGTAAATTACAATCAGACAAAGTTCTCTCACAGATCTTAAGTGGTACAACCATGATCTTTATTACAATGCTAAAGAGAACATGTAAGATCCTTGCAACATAGCTGATTCAATTATGACCAAACTAAATGGGAAACAAGTGTGTGACTACACTGGACGGTGACGAATCTCAAAAGGGTATCACCAAAATCGAAACTTGAAATCTTGAAACGAAGTTTCACCTGGCAAAACTTGGAGCTGCGGAGAGGAGAAGGCGTAGGAGGAGGCTTAGAGCTGTTGCTCTGTTTCTCACTTGTAGCTGCCATTTGCTGAGATCTCTCTCAATCCTTCCTGACACAAATGATTGAAACTTTTAGCAAAAGAGAACGAGACTTGGTAATTGCGATTAAGGAGATGGAAGAAAGATGATTATATTACCAGAAGCTTCAAGGTTGTGAAAGAGAAAGGAAATAAACTCCCAAACTCTTCTGATCTGATGAAGAAGAAGAGACACGGATAGATCGTGTACTTATAGTTCACACGTGTCTTAAGCTGAGGATGTTTTTTTTTTGTTAAATTAAATTCTAGAGAGAAAGAGAGACTTCAAAAGCACGAAATAATTATGAAAATAACACCAAAATCACGACTATGTTTGACCTAACATGAATTTGACGTTGCATTCTTTTTGAATTATCAAATATTAAGAGCTAATAAGGTAAAAAACCAAGGAAGAAGCCGATATTAGGACTTTGCCAAAACGTAAGAAAGTGGACGACACGCGGTGCTTCAGGGGTTGTGAAAAAGACGTATATACCCTGCCCGGTTGTGATCTTGCCCTTCCCGTAATCTCGTACGGTCTGACAGAAGATTACCTTCAGTAGAGAATTTTAGAAGATATAATAAAGATTGCGTTTACACTTGGAGTGGGTGCATCGGTAAACAAAAACGAACTGTAGCTCATTAAAACATCTGACCCAAACGGCGGAGCTGTAACCAAATCTTCGAAAGATTTGGGTGAGATATTATCATGATTTTCTCTAAAATAAAAGAAATTTATATAATTACAGAAACTGTGTGCGTCTATATAAAAGAGTTAAACGGTTTGTACATCTCGATGGAACATCCGTTGAGTTCTTTGAAGGCTAATTGTAGTTGAGATAAAAGATTCATCTATCGTTTGCCAAGGTAGGTAAAACTAGTTAGCCAACTATAGATATGCTTAACCTCTGTCTCTGAAAACGTGTGTAGTAATCGTTTGAAGCATTTAATCGAAGTTCCAATCATTGAATCATTAATTATTTATGTGTCTTTCAAGCTCAAGCTTTCCATTTATTGTTGTGGTTTAGAATGTGTTTGTATTAAATACGTTATACTGTATATTTTAATGCAGGAATGGGTCGTGTTTACCGAATTTGGCGTGGAGACTGGAAGAAGAACGATCAGCAGCAGTGGTACTTTCTTCCAAACCAGCATGATTACGGGTTCACAATGTATGTGGATTCTCCTGAGACTCTGGGAATGATCGAAGCTACTATCCGAGAGTACTGGATGCTGGGGGGTGAAACGCCGGTTCAGATAACCTATGGGATGCCTAACTGGATGCTCTTCCCGACCGGGTCATCTGTGCCGAGGACCATTGCTACAACAGCTGATCTAGTCAGTCTGACGAGCCAGGTTCAACCACTATCGGACATAACACTTCTAGTAACATTCGGAGCTAAGAGTGTTGCGGAGTTCCAGTTCCTGACTCGTTCAGATTTTACGGTTGGATTTTCAACATACGTTGTGGGAGAAAACCAAGATGAAGAAGGTAGAGCAAGATATGAAGGTAGGTCATCGAACATGTAAATATTTCTCACAACAGTTCGGCTACAATCATCTTATAATAAATATAATAAAATGTGTCAGGGTTGGTTTTCGGCGAGAGGCTTCTAATGAGTGAGAGTGTTATGAATGAGATATTTGGAGAACAAGAGATGGTGATCCTCCACCGTATTGCTCTAGAAATGGGTTATGCCGACAGGATGGTGCGAGCTGCAGCTGGTTCTGGAGTTGTGCAAGGAATGGAAATCATCCAACTTGATGATGATGATGATGAGATGGTGGATGTCACACAAATCAGTGTAGGTCGGGAAGGTATGTAACACGCTGTAGCCAGATAACCCATAAGTATTGATGGTTAAGACAAAAGTTGTTCGGTTACAGAAACTGTTAAAAACTATATGTTAACTGTATTAAAATTGCTATTTCGTCTGGTCAGGAACAATGGTTCGAGGAACAACGGAAACACTAACTCAAAGCACAACCAGAACCATGGTGGATGTGCCTGATGCTGGTGTTACATTGCTAGCTCACCCTTTTGGAAGGGGAGGTAGTGATTTTATAGTATTTTGATTAAGAACAAAAGCAACAGTGGTTACAGAAAAAGATATCATGTTATGTGTTCATATAAACGCCATGTTATAATTTTTTAAGGTTTATTCTTTAAACAAATAGGATCGGGTGTACCCCATGTCCAGCCACAACCATTTCCTCAACTTACTCCAGCAAATGCACCGTCGATTCTGTGGGATGTAGGGATAGACCTATACGATTATCCAGAGTTCTACAACAGCCGTAGGGATGGACGCCAGGTGGCCATAGACTCAGAGTTTTGGCATAGCTTAAGTGAGGAAAATATGCAAGGGGTGTACCTAATTGGGAATCAAACCCCTGCGGATGGGGTGGGGGGTGGTCAGAACAAGACGAGCATTGTAGAAGAAGGAAGCTCATCAGGAGGTGGAGGTTTGTCGGTTGATGTAACTGGGGGAAGTGTACAAAGCTCAAATGGGGAAGCAGAGACAGGATTCTACCCTGTAGGAGCTGCGAAGGACAAAGATGGTGCCCAAGGTAAAGGTAACCTTTAACTAAAGAAACCCCTTTATGAAATATTGTTGCAACTTGATTGTTCAGTAAAAATAGTTAACAAATAATATTAACCGTTCACAGTTTTTTTAGTGCTGTATCCATTATATTAGTTAGCTGGATATAAAAATAGATTACTCGGCCAAGTAAATATAGTTTCTTATAGAATAAATGATTTTAATGTAGGAGCTGCAAAGGACAAAGATGTTGCTCCAGGTAAAGGTAACCTTCAATAGAAGAGACTTCTTTAATAAATATAGTTGGAACTTGTTTGGTCAGTAAATATAGGTAACGAATATTATTGACCGTCCAAGTTATTTAGTACTGTATCAAAATATATTAGTTAGCTGGATATAAAAATAGATTAATCAGGCAAGTAAATATTGTTTCTAATTGAGTAAATGACGTTAATGTGGTAGGTAATCCTGCTGGTCTTGGGAAGGAACAAGTGAACGACTCATTCCCGTTGGTGAAGGTGCAAGTAAGCGGGGGAAGTGGTTCAGGTGAAGCTCCTGCTCAAGCTTCAGACATTGCTCGTGGTGGCTACGAATCATCGGATGCTAGCGAGAGCGAGGGTGTGTTCTAAATTTAAGAGTGTGGAAAGTCAATGTTTAATTACGTAGTAAAGTAGTGTTGCTATTTAAAAAAATTTGGTTAAGGGATAGTCGTAGACGGTTAGGTATAAGTTTAACCCGGGGGTTGTTTTTGGGGGTAAACTTTTGTTTAACCGTGGAAAATGGGATGATCATTTCGGGGTTGGGTGGCTTTTGTGATGTTACATCGGCATGAAGACGGGGGGTAAACAGACCGTTGGGGAGGTTTTTTCTTGGTATTGTATAAAAAAGTATTTCTATGTTACAAGAATGATATGATGATGGCTTAGACCCGTCTTGGCAATCAATGTTATAAAACGATATGATATTTTCTTATAGTAAAAACATATGTGATGGTCAAAGAAAATAAAAACTTTTCCGATGCTAAAAGAAAAGAAAGCCCGATAAATAGCAAAAATACTTGAAATGTAGTTAACCGGTTAAGTAATATGTACTCATGTCTACGCAAAATAGTAGCCGGTTTTACACACTGTCTGACTCACTGTTTTTTTTTCCATAATATAGTGTAAAATTGGGTAAAAACTTATAACTTGGTGTTTTTTAACAAGCAGGTGATGAGATTGAATATGGCGTTGATCTGAAGGTTGGAATGATATTCAGAAACCGTGACGCATTCAAGCAGCATATATCAATGTTTGCTGTTGCTAAAAAATTTTGCTTCAAGAGCGGGAAGTCAGATCCTGGTATGATGATATTGGAATGCGTAAGCTCTTCTTGTCCGTGGCGTGTGTACGCAATCAGGTTGAAGGACTCAGAAGTTTTTGAGGTGAGAAAACTTGTCAGCGGTCACTGTTGTTCCATTGCTGATCGTGGTAGCTACCAGAAGCAAGCAACATCTGCGGTAATTGGAGAGCTGATGAAAACGAAATTTGCCGGGAATGGTATTGGTCCTCGGCCTAGGGAGATCAGAAGGATGATGAGGGGAGATCATGACGTCTGTATATCGTATTGGAAGGCTTGGAAATCTAGGGAAATGGCTGTGGATAATGGCCAGGGAACGACCAATGCATCCTACTTAAAACTCCCGGTTTATCTGAATAACCTTGTGTTCGCCAATCCGGGTTCTTTAGCCAACTTGCTAACAGATCCTGTTGATGGAGGTGGAAGTCGATTCAAGTACATGTTCCTAGCCTTAGGAGCTTCAATTGAAGGATACAAAGCAATGAGGAAGGTGGTGATAGTTGATGGAACTCATTTGAAAGGGAAATACGCTGGATGTTTACTAACAGCTTCGGCGCAAGATGGTAACTATCAAATTTTCCCGCTAGCCTTTGCAATTGTTGATAGCGAGAATGACAAATCGTGGGAGTGGTTTTTCCAAAACCTATCTCAATTTGTTATGAATGACCAAGAATTGGTGTTCGTATCAGACAGGCATCAATCCATCATCAAAGGGATAAGCAAGGTAAGAAAAATCTTTAAAATTGATTTGTTTCTTTGATAGTGAGCGTTATAAGTTGTTAGATTTTACAAGCTGTGGAAGACCGCTTAGCTGTTGAGAAAGATTAGTCAGATGTCCTAATGAATATCAGACAACATAAGCAACGACAATTATTAGATTATGTTAACCGGTGTTATTATTTTGTATATGTTGTTGTAAATAATTACGTGGTTGTTATAATAACATATCAGTCAATTAATGTAGTAGCCGGTTAAATTAAACATGTGTTCCCTGTCGCGGGCCACTGCGTCTGTGTCGTCCACCTGAAGAGAAACATCAGATCGATTTTCCGGGCCCGGCGTTTGGAGTTTCTTGTAGGAAAGGCAGCAAGAGCATATAAGTTGGGTGATTTCTACATTACATTCAACGAGATTAAAGATATGAATCCTGCATGCGCAGAGTACCTTGTTGACCTCGGATTTGAGCATTGGGCGAGGTCTCATTTTCCGGGAAACCGGTACAACATCATGACAAGCAACTTGGCTGAGTCATGGAATTCTGTGCTAAGAGAGGCACGTGAGTATCCAGTTGTTCAGTTGGTTGACTTCATCCGTGGGAAGTTGACAACTTGGTTTGCAAGTAGGCGTG